GGAGATAGTGCTCTGTGACTTGACGGTCATCCTTAATTAATACTACCTCCGTCCCAAGAAATTTTGTCATTCTAAAAAATTTGAACTATGATTTTGATTAGTATAATATTATGAAAATTATAAATTTTGTAGAAAGTACTTTCATCAAAGGACATTTTCAGATAATTTTTATATTATAAATAATTTTCGATGAAAAGATATAATTGAACAAACTTTTGGGACAGAGGAATTTTGTGTTTAGATGTATAATTTCAAATGTGATGGAGCTATTTGTACATAAAATTCGAAATGGTTTGTACATTCAATTTTTCTCTCTTAATAGTAATCTCTATTTACTTTGCGTGTTAAAAAATTGGTTGAGTTTTATTACATATATCCTTGTGCTCTCTAGAAGTTGTGAGATTTTTATTTCAAAAAAAAGTTTGGGAGATTTTCATTTACCTTTTGATTTGAATATGCTGCATAATAAGAACATTGTGGTTGGTTTACCCGCACGAATAGCTCAGTTGGTCGAGTGGTGAGAAAATTGGACCAAGTGACCAAAGTTCGAAACTCGCAGCGGCCATGTGGAGGTTACATAACCTGAAATAAGGCTGGACCTCTAGTGCACATGTGTATAATGCCTGCCGTCGCTTTGCTGACTGAGTAATCGTGATTAACCTTCGCACAATCCTGTCGGGTCGGATGAGGGTTCATGGGGTGAGAGATTCCACCTTTTGGACCAAACATTGCGGCTGTTTTCGAATTTAGATTGCATAAAGAAAGGACATTGTGGTTTTAGTCCCACAATCATGACGTATGACACTCTTTTCCTCCAAACACAACCAAACAAAACTATATATTCGTATTACAGTGGAGTACAAAATAACTTGGGAAAAGTTGCCTAGCTAGTGATCGAGGAAGAAAATCATGAGGCTAATTTCAAATTTGTACACACATGAAAAACAATTTATGTCTTGGCTTTTACGATTTTACAGGGATAAAAAAAGTGTCAATGGACAAAATAGTAAGTAACGTTTTCTTCGTCATAAAAAGCTTGACTATTCTTTGTCAAAAAATAGTTTATCTACTCCGTTTGAGGATGTATTAATATGTAGTAGATAAACTATTTTTAACCAAGTAAAAATTGATGATGTTCCTTGAACTCAAATCTTCTGATCTGATCTCAATTTGTGTGGTATGATGATAAATGTATGTTCTTTACTTATTTTACAACTTTCGTAGTGGATAAATGTATGTTCTTTACTTATTTTACAACTTTCGTAGTCTAATCGATCTGATATGAGTTGATCTGGTCTACTCTGAATTGAACTGGTCTAATCTGGCCTGGGACTTAAATAAATACTCCGTAATTACTTACAAATGGCTAAATTATAGGCGGAATACTAATGACATAGAATATTGACACTTTTGCTCAATAAATTTTATTTAGGATGTTTTTACTTGGACTGTAATTTGCTGGTCTGGTCTGGTCTGGTCTGTTTTAGTCTGGTTTGGTCTGTTTTAGTCTGGTCTGGTCTGGATTGGTCTGGTCTGGTCTGGATTGGTCTGGTCTGGTTTGGTCTGATAATAATAATAATTATTATTATTATTATTATAATAATAATTATAATAATAATAATAGTGATAATAATAGTAATAATAGTAGTAATAATAATAATAATAATAATAATAATAATAATAATAATAATAAAATATGGTCTGCTTTGGTCTGATCTGGTCTGGTTTGTTTTGGTCTGGTCTATTTTGGTCTGGGACCGAATTAGAGTCAAGTAGATTGTGCTTTCACGACACCATTGATCGACTCGTGGTGAACCTTCCAAAGAAGATATTACACGTTTCAATGTTATTCTAATGAAAAATGTTGACATTTAACGTAGAACAAATATCATAACAGTTAGAATTGCATACAAAAGAAATACTATATGTTGCTTTAGAGCCGAGATAATTTGTCGGACCAAAGGTTTTATGTTGGAATACCTTGGTTTTTAATTTCATTACAATAGTGCATGCCCAACTTCTAAAGTTAAAAGGGTCGCTTTGAGGACAAATAGACAAAGCGTCACCCAACCTATAATTCCATACACACATTTCCATATGCTAATCTTTAAGCTAATTTCGGACTTTTCCTCTTACCATTATCCTCCCTACCTCCAATTTGGCCCCTTATTCCGAATCTTAAAACAAATTGCTTAAGGGGTTTTATATATTTAATGTCATTTAATGGTAATGACTTCGAATTGAGTCGTAATAAGCGGGTGTCCTAGACGATTTCGGGCCCATTCTGAAAGATTTGAGAACTATCAAGATAAATGATTATGAGGAGCTCATTTGTTTTTTATTAGATTATTATTAGATCAAGATAATCAAGGTTTTATTAGTCGTACACTCTTTTATACGTTTGTGATTTGTTTGTTTGTGAGCGGGGTTTAAATACACAAAAGGCTTCTCACATACAGTAGGTATAAAAGTGAGTATAAAAATGGATACAATTTTTCGACTAATTTATAAAACCATCCCAAATTGCCAAACTTTTAAGAATCGTAAGTTTGAATCGTTCGAATAATTAATTAAATAATTACGGAGTAGATTCCAAACACTCGTTTATTTGCCATCACCAAATAAAAACTGTTTGAGGCCCCAATTTTCACACCCAAGTATATACCAAGTATAAAAGAAGTCTAATTAATGCTTGGAGAATGAATCAACGGCGTACGTTGTGATTTGTGGAGGGAAGGTCATGTGCAATGAAGTCACAGACATCGAAGAGTACAATAAATGTGTTAGAAATAACCATAGATCATAGGTGGTGGGGTATTTGACTATTTGAGGCCGAGCGCCGGGCACAGTTGAGTGACGACGATTCGTGAATATTTGACTATTTCATCCGTTCCTAAAAAAAACTTCCAATTTTCCCTTTTCGTTCGTTCCAAAAAGAACTTCATTTTTCCTTTTTGGCAAAGAATTTGTGGTTCACAACAATTCTTACACATTCTTACACATTTCCTTTTCCTTTGCACAACTCTCCACCACACAATTCTCACTTTCTTAATCCATGTGCCATTTGTACTACGGAAGAACATTTAGGGACGGAGGGAGTAGAAAGAGCAATATGGCAACAATGATGGATAGAAGTCATAGAATAGTGACTCCGGTAAAACGGGAGTGGCGCCCGGCAGTATGGTAGATGAATAATTAGACGAAAGTACGGAATATTTTTTGATCGTGATTTAAAAAAATGAAATAATGACAAATACATAATTGAAATAAAGGTAGTGATGAATAAAAATGTGACTTTATATACTTCAATTCATTGACTATCATACTAATTTTAGTGATCATGATTTTATTTATCTCTAAACTATTGTGATTATATATGCGTAGTAATTGTATCATAGTATTACATAATATTATTGCTCATAACTTATGTATTTCAATAATAACGTTTTCCACATTTAATCCCCTGATCATAATGTCAGTGACAATTTTGGTATTCGACTTTGAACTTTTTCAGATCTAGTCATACAATTATTCTGCACAAGACATTTTTCATAGAGAGAATTCCCTAAATATGACTAAAAGAAGCTGAAATTGCAAAAACATGACATATTGTTTTAAATTCCCTAAATAGGACTAAAGATTACACTTTTACCCCTACCCATTAACCTAACCCAGTTGTGCGCCTTGTACCCTCTGCAATCGTTCGCCGTCAATATCCCAGACATCCATCGACCTCAATATCTTCTTCTACCATGGCCGCAGCTCCGTCATCTACCACCACCGCCGCAGCTCCGCCATCGATGACACCACTGCTGCAATTTCTCCAGCCAAGTCAGGTATCTATTCTTCCCCTTCTTCTCCTTCTTCTCCTCCTTCCTCTTCCTCCTCCTCCTCCTCCTCCTCCTCCTCTTCTCCTTCTTCTTCTCCTTCCTCTTCTTCCTCCTTCTTCCTCTTCTGGTACTCTGTTATTTTTTTTTTTAATTTGGATTTCAATTTTATTTGTAAAGCTGGAATCTGAGAAAGCCATAAAATTTTCAGAAATTTCGAAGAATGTCAATTTTATGGCATTACATCTATTAAGATGACAGTTTTACTTTGAAATTTAAAAACTTTAGAAAAATGTCATAATTGATGTGTAATCTAACATTGATTTGTAATAATGTTACTTTTATGACATTATATTTGACAAGATGACAGCTCAAAGAAGAAAATGACATCTCTAAAAAGTAATAATGTTATTTGCATGACATTTTCGAAACAAAAATGACGTCTTTAAAGTGGCATTTTTTGAGTAACAATGTCAATTTCGTGATATATTGTCATCTTGATAAAGGTAATGTCATAAGAGTGACATTTTAAGGTTCCAAATTAATCAAAATTAATAAATAAATAAATAAATAATTGAAATCTAAAGAAGAAGAGAACAGAAGACCTAACATTGAAGAGGATGGGAAGGAGAAGACCAAAAAAAGGAAAGAGGAAGAAGAAGAAGAAGAAAAAGGAGGAGGAGGAGGGGAGGGGAAGAAGAGTACCTTGATGAACAGATGATTGCGATCGATGGCGGATAAGCTGCAATCGAAGGTGGAGAAACTATGGCCGACCAATGCGAAAGTCGCAGGGGTGAGAAAGAAGGTTGCGATCCAGGTTGCGATCCGGCTTCGATCTTCAGGGGTTTAATTAGAAGGGTAAAATTGTAATCTTTAGTCTTATTTAGGGAATAAAAAACTTAATGTCCTATTAAGGAATTTAGTCTTTGTTTTAGTCCCATTTTGGGCAATTTATTCTTTTTTATACTCGTTGTTTTGAAATTTTCCATGTTTAGTTTAGTCATGACACTATTATCATTATGACATTTTTGGTCACTCACTTATTATGTCAAAATCATAACGAAATAACTAAAGTGTCGATTCAAAAGTACCGAGTACTTATTAGAGAATAATTAAATACGGAGAACTTTGAAGTCTAGTATGTGAAGTGGTCAAGATACCCTCACTCACATTCAATAATTCCCTATATATAGGCTTAGCTAGCCAGCCATAAGTGCATGCTTACAACTACTCTTGTGATCAAGCTAGAGAGAAGAAATTAAAGTCCGAAACAGATAGAAACAAGAAAAGTATTGAACCCTTGCGCGCGCGCACAAATGGGAAGAGCTGCGGATAGGGATGAACACACAGCTCTTCTTCATCGTCACTCCTCCATTGCGCTGCTTCAGGAAAGGTTTAGACAGTTGGAAAGGGCAAAGGAGATTCGGCAAGAGAGAGAGCTGTCGAGATCAGGACTGCACCCATCTTCATATTCCCACACCGAATTCTTGTTTCCTCCTCCGCCGCCGCCGGCCAAGCCATCATCATCTAAACTTTCCCTCTCCCTGTGGCCGGCAGACTCTTCGCCGACAGCGGAGGAGATGCGGCGGATAAACGATGACGTAAACTTGACTCCTCCTTGGGTCATGGCCAACCATCTTTATCACACTTATTCTCCAGATGTTGATACTTCCCTTCACCTCTAGGCTCTAGCTAGCTATCTTGTCTAGCTAATTCATTGTTGTGTTCAAAAGGAGAGATCTAGCCGTACGTACGTTATACATGTAATACTCCGTATCTATCTACCTACTTCGTCAGTTTGTCTATTTCGAAATTTAAAAAAAATTCCACAATTGGTCATTATACTTTTCCAATTTTGATGCATGATTGACAATTTGTCATCTAGAAAAATACTCACATCGTCCCTCAATATTTTGTCATGTTTGATCGGTACGAGAAATAATATAGTAAAAATTGTGTGGTTGAAATATGTACAAAGAAGAGGGAAGTGACAGGAACCACAAATTCATTGATTAAAAAGGAAAGTGACAAAGTTTTTGAGACATCCAAAAAATGAAAGATGACAAAATTATGAGTCATACTCCTCTCCATTTCCTTCTCTCAATTTACTCTCTCCATTTCTTTTTCACTCTATCTCTCTCCTTAAAAAATACGGAGTAATTAAACCCCATTTTTTCTTTCTTCATACCCCACCACTTCCACATCTCACTCTATCTCTCTTCTAAGTTCTAATGGAGAATTCCAGAGTTACAGTTACTGGAGAGGAGCTAAATTCCAAAATTATAAGGGACGAAAGGAATACTTAGTAATAGATACTTCATTCGACGTCCGTCCCGCTAAGATTGTCCTGTTTTTTTTTTCGGAAAATCATACTAAGATTGTACATAAACAAATTTGTGTGACTGTATATCATTCTTACTTTATAAATTCAATATCATCCACATTAACTACTTTTTTTAATAATCGTGTCACTTTTTCATGTCTCAATGTTAGTGGGACAGAGTTAGTAGTATGTATGAAGCACGAATAGGAAAACTCCAAAACTAAAATTTAAATTGATAGTCTAATTGTTCAGTTTCAAAACATTATAACAGTTAGGATATGATAGTATGTCTATATGTAAACAAACCGGTGGGCGTAGCTCAACTGGTAGCAAGGGAGTGCCACAAGGGTTAGGTCCCGGGTTCGAATCTCGGCAACTGCGATGAGGGGTTACTATGCTAAAAATACATAGCGCCTCTGCAAGTACCGGGGACAGAGTCTCACTCTTTATCTGTCAGATTGAGCTTATAGTCCAATTTATATCCTCCCAACATACCGTCCGGTCGGGGTTGGGGGCCCCTCAGGGATGTGGTGTCATCCTTTTTTTGAGATTATAGTCCAATTTACATCCTCCCAACGTACCGTTCGGTCGGGGTTGGAGGGGCCCTCGGGGATGGGGTGTCATCCTTTTTTTCTATATGTAAACAAAAAAGGATAGTAATACGCTGTGATTTGATGCACTTTTAAAGTAAAGGTCAGGTGCTCAAATGTACTGTTGAACAAATTAAACACAAGCAAAAAATTAAATGTAGCTTGACTTGGGGTTGTTCATGTTTCGATCTGCAGACTGCACCACAAACATAGATTAGATAGGACCGTTGGATCCTGATGCTTTGAGTACGTTTGGACCTCGATCAATAAATTTCGAGTCCCGCTTCGTGTAGACGTTGGGTTACACGTCGGGTTACACGTCGGGTTACATGCCGATCAAATTATCTGTATACAGACAATTTGATCGGCTAGACAGACAATTTGACCGGCGTTTTATGAAGAAAATCGATTTCCATACAGACAAAATACCAAGAGTTGTCTGTATCACACAAATTTTAAACCTGAATTTTTCATAGTGTCTGTGATACAGACATTTTTTTTATTTTTGTCTGTGTGGAAATCGGTTTTCTTCGTAAATCACCGCTCAATATGTCTGTGTAGTCGATCAAATTGTTTGTACATAGATAATTTGACAGACGTGTAACCCAGCGTGTAAAACTTGACGTGTACAAAAGGAATTTCCCATAAATTTCTCTTTGCCAACATCAAATTAAATGAAAAATAAGAAAAATAAAAATTGTACGATTGAAATAACTATAATTATAAATTAGTTACTTTAATGAGAAATTGATAAAGTTAATGAGACAATTAACAAAGAAAATTGGCTAAATCAAATAGAACGGAGGGATCAATTCAATATTTCATCTTCGCTGCGTGGCCGGACAAATATGTGCATGTATATCAGTATATAAGCATATCACTAATGATTAGTGTTATAAATTATACAAGTTAAATATGTGCATGATGAATATAAGCATAACACTAATAATTAGTTAAAATTAATATTATTGTTTGAAATGCCCTTGAGAAGTATTCTTCTAGATTTAATTCTTGATTTGCGAAATTGACATCAATAATCTCTACTTTTATACATTTTATAAAAATAATTCTGATGGATAGTCTACCCGGGGGTATATATCCGAAGGGTTATTACGGGGAATAACTTAGAGAGAAGTCAGAGCAAGTAAGTAAAAGTAGAGAGAGAGTGTATTCAATATGAATGCCGTTTTCAGCGTGGTTACAAATGGGGAAATGGGGTGCTATTTATAGTAGCAATAAACGCCGGGCAGGGACACGTGTCAGGCGCTCATTGGCCGAGGGGTCACCTCAACTGGTTGGCGCTGGCAGCCGCATGTGGCCGCATTTAATGCGGCTGTTGGATGGGACGTCTGTGCAGGGTACGGTGATCTGTACGCATGTGAGGCGGATATCTTGTCGAGTGAGATGCCTTCGGCCATAGGGCAGTAGCCGAGGGCTCCTCCAACCGATGGCACCCTGGTGACGAGGGCTCACAGTGCCGAGGGCTACTGTTTTCGCCGTTCTCTCCCAGTTTCTTAATTTGCTTGGGAAACCCGTTCTGCGAGAGTTTAGAGCCTTCGGCCAGGGGGCCGAAGGCACCCCTGACGCGTAGTGTGGGCTGCTCGGTACTCTGGGCGCTGTGATTTGGGCCTGTTGGACCTTCTGGGCCTGTTGGGCCTCTAAAGGAGTAGTAGAAGTCTGTGGGCCGGGTGTTCCCGTGCCATATACTCCATCAGGAGTCCCTCACTCCTTTTGCCGAAAGGTACTTGAGGGAAAAGGAGTAATTTGTGCTTGCCTTTTGATGTTGTCCCGTCGTGATCTCTGAAGTTGGTGAGGAGTTGTTGCTTTTATGTCCCTGCCGAAGGCAGTCCCTCAGTTACCCACATGTCGGGACTTGAGGGCTTGCCTTGTCGTTTGTTGGAATTTCACTAATTTTGTAATTTAATGATTTTCCCGAGGGGGTCCTCCAGTCCCCCACTCCTTGAGGCACTTGTAAAGTGGTGAAAAGGAGTAGAGTAGTTGTGTTGCTGTTGTGGGCCGAAGGCTGACGTTTTTCGTTTCATTTTGGGGGGATGCCTTGTTAAAAACCTCATTAGGAAAAACCCTGGGGGAAAAAATCCTAATGAGGGAAAAAGAGTGCACCGAATTCCCCCAATGATGAATCGAAAATGTCAAACCTTGGTCAAAAATGGAGAATAACGGTAAAGCCGAAGGCTCTTATTTTTCTGAGGGCTCATGTATTGATCAGCCGAAGGCTTGCCGTTGATATCCTGGGGATGCCGAAGGGGAGCCCCTCAATCCGGGGATCGAGGGCCTGCTGGATGAGGGCGGCAACGGAGTTGTTACCGGGGGGTCCACTGTTTGTTGATTAGTTGGTGATGAAGATACCCGAGGGCTCCCATTACCTGTGTGCGACGGGTTATCCGTCAATGAAGGCAACTCCCCGGGGGCTACCCGGTTTTGCAGTGCTGAGGGGGAATTCCCGAGGGGTGCCCTGATATGAAGCCTTGGGTTCCTGAAGGAGTGATCCCGAAGGCGTCCTGTTATGTGTTGTGTGGGGCACACCCCGGGGGCACTTATGAGTGAGTGCACCCGGAGGCTATCCTTGATGAAGTGGAGTGAGGTAGAAAACCCGGGGCTTCCAGAATATAGCCGTTGGAAATATAGCCGTTGGAATACGTAACGTCAGGATATAGCCGTTGGGGGGGGGGGGGGGGACACGTGGCGCGTGATGGCTGGCTGTCCGTGGGCGGCATCACTGGTTGGGTGAGGACGCAGTGTGTAATGATGGTGGTCCATCCGGAGGCCCGGAATCCAGGCCCAAGCCCGGATTCCATCGCCTATAAAATACCCCAAGGCCAGGGCCATTCCCCGCTGTGCGAACTCAGTTGTCTTAGCGAAGCTCTGCCAAAAAATCTAGTGAGAGAAACTCAAGCCTTCGGTCCTAACTCAGCTTTCGAGGTCAGTGCTCCCTGCCTTTCTCCTTCTAGTATAGCTGTACATTGTGCCCTCGGGTTAGGAGATAGAATTCACTAGAAACCTTAGTTCCCCCGAACCCTCGAGCTAGAGTTAGAATGTCGTCCCAGAGTGACTCTCAGGACATCTCGAGGACGCCCTCGATGGAGGACGAAGGCATCTCCGACGTGGAGTCCAGTAGCGGTCAGCCCTCGGATGGTGGTGACGTAGCCCTCGCCACTGAGGTGCAGAAGGATCTGATGGCCGAGGCCGAGGCGGAGGAATTCGAGCGAACTGCCGAGGATGAAGAGTTGGCCCTCGCCGTCCAAGTTGCTGAAGAGGAGGAGGAAAAGGAGAGGGAGAAGGTCACTGTGGCCGTCCTTCCCCCTCGGGTGCTGGTGAGGCCAGTACTTCCCAGCCGCTGAATGCAGTTCCCATCCGGGTGGCCCCCGGGAAGAAGAAGGCCAAGGCAGCTGCCCCCAAGAAGAAGGTTATTGCTGCTGATCAGGGGAAGCCCGTAGATATGCCGGAGGGGTATTCCTGGCTCAACACGGCTGCCTTGGAGATAAAGTCGAAGGCGGACAGGGCGGACCTCTACGTGACGCAGCTACATGTAGGGCCCTCGGCCGTGGTGGTCGAGCCGAGAGTTGACGACGTGCTCTCTCGGGCACCTGAGGGGTGCATTGCAGTACACGTACTATCGGTCTCCATGGGCCTTCGGTTCCCTCTGCACCCCTTCCTCCGGGAGTACCTGAGGTTTGTTGGCTTGGTACCCTGCCAGCTGACACCTAATAGCCACTCCTACGTGGCGGGTTTTGTAAACCTTTGTAGGGACCGAGGGGTGACCCCCAGCCTGGACTTGTTCTTCCAGAGCTTCAACCTCTGTCGAGGGGGTCACGCGAATGCCGAGGGCTTCGCCAACCTGCAGCAGGTGGTCAGGTGGAAGCTGTTTACGGAGGCGCCTTCGTCTAATAAGGGCTGGAA